CGATCGTAATTATTGCGGAATTTTTCAGTCCGTAATAACTTACGTAAGATTACGTTTATATAATTTGCTGATGTATTATAACGAAGGTGTTAATCTAAAGAACTTATCATATCATAATACACCTTTATCTTATTTATACTTATTGATATTAAATTACATAATAATTTTTTTTTTATTTAGATAGTGAAAGTGAATCTTCAAGTAATGAAAGTAATTGGGAGAATGAAACGTTGGAATCTGAATTAAATAATATTTATAAAGTAATGTTAGATGCCACTTCTAAACAAAATACATATCAAAAAACATTAAAACACGGATATTATAATGGTGGTGCCAAATCTACTTTACGCAATAAAAGACAATATTGGAGACTAGCAGCACAGGGCTCTCAAAAAATTACCAACTATTTTAATTGTGGTGGTGATGACGATAATGATGATAGTAATGATTTTGATACAGGTACATTTATATCATTTACAAAATTGTATCTGTATTTTGATTTTTTTTCTTTGATTAAATAAATTGTAACTATTCTAAATTAAGATTCTGATGAGAAGAAAGATTTTGAATATTCATTATCGGAGTTGGAGAAAACAATTAAAAATAGCACACAAGATATTTGGCTCCAATATGTAGCACAATACCTTCGGCTTGTGGAGTCTGGTTTTACCAAAATGGAAGCGAGTAATATAATTTCAACCTTACTTAATCGTGGTCCATGGATAGCACGTTCTTGGAGCAACTAATACTTAAAAAGTGGGTTTATTATTACTTCAAAACAGGGAAAACACCAAAAAATTCATTCTCTGCTCTATGATGAGGATGTTCAAAATAAAATAATGCAATTTTTAAATTTAAACAAATTTAAGCTGAATATTTCTCAAATTTTATGTTAGAAATGAAATATTTCCTAGTTTTGGAATTGAAACCAGAAAAACTATAAGTAAAAGAACAGCTCAAAGATGGTTAGCTAAACTAGGCTGAGAATATAAGCAGTATAAAAAAGGGTTGTATATTGATGGCCATGAGAGGGTGGATATTGTAGAGTATCGGCATGTGTTTTTAGAACGTATAAAGCAACTTGAATCATTAATGCCAAGCTGGTCTGATGATTTGACTCAACAAATTAATCTTGATTTAGCCGAAAATGAAAAGTTACATATATTGGTAACTCACGATGAAACAGTATTTTATGCGAATGATAGTCAAAAAGAATTTTGGAGGCCCAGGGGTGAACAACCATTACGTCCCAAATCGCTTGGAGGTAGCTTGATGGTTAGTGACTTCCTTTGTGATACAATTGGTCATCTTCAATTAGATCATATTTATCAACAACAAAATAATTGTCTTCCACTTGAAAATCAAATTCCTGATAAGGCCTGCTGTATAATTCGTCCTGGTGTTAATCGTGATGGTTTTTGGAACAGTGAAGATGTAGCGAATCAATTAAAAAATAAAGCAATACCGATCTTTGAAGCAATGCATCCTGGTTGTGTTGCCGTCTTTGCTTTTGATAATAGCAATAACCACAGGGCATTTGCTGAAAATGCTTTAGTCATATCAAGAATGAATTTTAAACCTAGTGGTAAATAGCCTAAAATGAGAAGAACCTATATGCGAAATGGCAAACCACAAGAAATGAACTTTCCTGATGGAACTCCAAAAAGAATGCTTGAGGTGCTTAAAGAAAGGGGTTTGGCTTATCCTGGCTTAAAAAAAATTTGTTCACAATGTAAAAAAGGACATTTAAAAGAAAATAATTGTTGTGCTACATGAATTTTGAGCTTAGAACCAGATTTCATGGGTCAAAGATCTCTTTTAGAAGAAATAGTTGAAAAAGCAGGTCATAAAATTATTTTCTATCCAAAGTTTCACTGCGAATTAAACTATATTAAAATTTTTTGGAGCGCAACAAAGAGATACGCACGAGCTAACTATGATTATAGCTTTAAAGTATTGAATGATATTGTTCTAGCAGCTCTTGAATCAGTTAGTTTAATTCAAATACGAAAATATGCAAGAAAGTTATTATGTTATATGAGCGCATATAGGTTGGGTTTGAATGCTGAGCAGGCTACTTATGCAGTTCGGAAATACAAATCATATAGAAGAGTACCAAATAATGTTATGAAAGACTTGGATATTAACTAAATTGTTGGAGGTTTTTTTTTTTTTTTTTATAATTTTTTTTTTTTAGTAAACCTAAAAATTATTTTTGGGTTGCTTTATTTTTAGATAATATTATTTTGATAGTAGTAAATGATTAGCTATAATTATTTTATGTGGCTGTATAGTTAAGTCAGTTATTGTACTTACGCTTTATAAAAGTAAAAATAAATATAAGAATTTTTGCTTTCTTAAATTAAACTTGAAAAAAATTGGTTTGTACGTATTAATATAAAATGTCTTGCAACATTTATATTGCTTTAATTAAGACTTTATTCATCGATTAAATTTAATAAAGATTCTATAATAAGTTTAATCATACAACCAATAAATAGTTTAATAAGGATTAGATAGTAAGTTTAAGCTTATAATTATCTCTTTTTCATTTCATTCTTGTATATTAAATTATTTTTTTTAGTTCCAAATCAATACAAGTTGCAATAGAATTCTAAATAAACTTTTATTTTATTTCTAATTAACTACAATATCTTATATTATCGCATACTGCAATATATAATTTATAATATTGATCATTTATTGTTTTATTTATCAATTTACTTATTAAAATATATACAAATATAAAGAATTACTTGCTAATTACAATAGAATTTTTATTTAATAATGCTATAACTTTAAATAATCGTAGTGCAACTTATCTTTTTATTTACCAATCTTGCTAACTACAATAAATTAGTAAAATTAATTCAAATAATTTATTAGTATTAGGGAAACACAATTAATTTTCTAAAAATGGGCTGATATAAAGATTTAAACTATCGATCTAGTTGATGCTATTGTAACGTATTATTTATCATCTTATAGAATAAATTATTATAATTTAGACAAATATAAAAAGTCAATACCTCACTGATTATTCTTACATTCGAGACATTTGCTAAAAAATTAACGTTTAAAACTATATATCATTATTCTGAATTTTTAATTATTGTGATTTATTTTTTATCAAAAGAAGAATTATTATAACAAATTTAGTACTATAATTTGATTAGTTAAGGAAGTCACATGCATGTGATGTTATACTGCAGCCATGTTTTCTGAAAAAATCTAATATATTTCTGATATTTTCCTATATATAAAGAGGTGCTAAAATTTTTGATACTCTTAATAAAATAGACCAACTTTAAAGTAAAATAATATTATAATAAATAGTTTGTTTTAAAAAAGCTTTCTGTAAATATGTTATTTTAATTATATAGTATATAAATATAGAAAGAGTTTTTGCATTTTAGTTATTTTATTTTGAGTTATTTTGTTTTTTAAAAAGTTAATTATTTTGAATGTAATTAGATGTCACGCACCATATATGATTGATTTATTTAATAAAATTTTTTACAATTAAGCAAAAATTATTTTTATTTTAAAATAAACTACTTACAAAATTTTTATATAATATTTTGACCAAAAATAGTAGCTTATTTTTAGCAATATATAGTAAACAGTTTAAAGATTATTTAAAAATTATTCTTCACACAAGAGTATTGGTTTTATTGTCATTTATTTGTTATTTTAATATTTATAAAACCATTTTTTATAATTTATTATTTTGCTATGGTTTTATATAAATTTTTTTTATAATAAATAACTTGTTATTTAAAAATAATATATTATAGAAAATTTTAGGCACCTCTGGTTTCAGAGATATATAACTTATATATCTCTGGCCTATTTAACCAATTAACAAACAACAAAATTATATGACTAAAGCTCATATGTTAATCCGATTGCCAATACAAAGTCGAATGATCTTGCTGTATCATTACCAGATTTGAATAAACAATAATTATTGTCAATCATTGTTTTTTTTTTTATCTTTGCTTCTTCACTTTGCTTACTAATTTTTTTTATTTAGCTTGTCACCTTTGTCATTGGTATTGCGGTTGGTGCTATTGTTTGTATTACAGTTAGTATTGAGTTGGATTACTATTAAATTTTTTTCTTGGGTTCAACGATCTTGTGTTCTTTGGTGCTTTGCTGGTATTCTTATAAAGGTCTTTTATGCGATCTTATATTTGGTTTTGTATCTAGTCTTGTATCTAGCCTTGTGTCTTTCATATAATCTTGTGTATTTCCTGGTAATAGCTCTAGCTATTATTTTCTGGATTA